TCGGCAATTTGAAAATAGGACAAAAAAAGGAGAAAAGCATGGTGCATACTTTCCGTTGGACCACTCGATATACGAAAGGTAATATAATTATAAACTGCAGTTTATATAAAGTATCCAAACAAGAAACAAACCACCCAGCAGAATAAAGAAAACACGAAAATTTGTTGAAAGGAAATACATTGTATAAAAAGCCAATTTTCAAAACCCTCAAATGACCAACTAGAACTATGTTGTTCTCCCCATTTGAATTTGTGAGTTTTGAAAACTAGTTTAGGATCCACTGGAGCTATCCACAAGTAGATAGTGTTTTTGGATCAATAATCAGTAATTTTGATATGTATAGAAATAAAAAAAATATTGTTTTGGTATCTCAGATAAGCTGTTGATAATTCAGGTAACATTTTTGTTATTTCAGGTACCTAAAGTACATTGCATATTCTACACACTTCATACAAAAATAACAAAAATAACGAATACTTTAAGAGCGACTCATTGTATTTTTCAACAGGTGACAACGTGGACTGCTGGATGGAAATTCAACACGGTAAAGGTCCATGGGCCCCCCCTGTTAGTGGTATAGTTCCACTAGGTTCCACATTGACCCTGGTAGTCGCTATAAATGATTACAGAGGTAGGTGAACTAATGAACGAATCATTTATTTCAGGAACCCCTCAACTGACATTTTTCAAAAATGAGGTTAAAACAGGTTATGAACGGCTTACTTTTATCACACCGTTTCATGCTGAAACCGGTGAACTGGCAAGCCTTTCAATGAGTTGTATTAGGTGGGTTGAAAGTTCGCATGCTAACAAACAGATGGCGCTACAAGTTTTGAGTCTATATGGTTGGCTGTCATTGTTCATCTTTCACTGCCTGAACCACTGTGCATGCTGTTTGGCGAGTGCATTAGCTTGGGGTGTGGGGGTTGAGCAAACCGGCCATCGGATACCTGCTTCCACGTAGCCTCGCTGGATATGGGAATGACAGAATCACTTGTGGTTCTATTATTCCCTAACTGAATGGCATCCCAACGATAGCTTAATCCTAAGGTGTTTGTATCCATGCCGAGTGGATGCATGATACTGAGCCTATCAGCGGTCTCTACGGAACCTTCGAGATACCTGACGCCCTCTCGACGCTTTGTCACGGTAATGCGGGGCTCTGCCGTGATTGACCTTCTTTCCCTAGCTACTCGTGGGACTTTTATGGACAGAGTAAACTTAAAAATTCTTTTTGACGCTGCGTCTATAGAGGAGATGGATGTCGAGATTACGACTCCAACTTCTCTGCAGATGTAGATCAGAAGCGAGTCTACATAGGAGATGGATGTTGAGTTTACGGCTCCAACTGACCTCCCTGTAAATTTAGTTCAGGAGCAAGTCTACAGAGGAGATGGATGTCGAGTTTACGACTCCAACAGACCTCTCTGTAAATTCAGTTCAGGAGCGAGAGCTTCCCAACTCCCCAACTCCTGATCCAATAACTGAACCCAAAAAAAGTTTTGGTGGTGCAGCCAGGAAACGACTGAGACGTCTCCTCAAAAGCGGGGTATCTTATAAAACCGCCTTGCACCAAATTCTTGAGCGGCGTACGCAGAATCTGTCTCAGGTGGGGGAACAAACTCCCCATTGAGCAGGTTAGCAAACTTCTGCGTCCTGGCAGGAGTTGACCGTCCTGGCAGGAAACCATGTGGATTATTTGAAAAGATGCTATGACTTAATGCAAAATTCATAAGTCTTTGGAGATAAGAATATTCAAAAACCTTAGAAAAGCAGGATGTGACAGTAACGGGCCTAGAATTTTCAAGATTTGCTGGACTTTGCTTTTTGTATACTGGGATGACTTTGCCGATTTTCAATAAAGATGGAAAACATCCACAATTGAAAGAAAGATTAACTAGATAAGATAGAGGTGAAATAATGTGACGTAACACCTTCTTCAAAATAAATGACGGAATCTAATCTGGCCCCGACGAGGCTTTATCCTTCAATTCATTCGACATCAACTGTAATAATTCAGGTTCTGAAAAGGGTGCTAGAAACAGGGACTCATTGAACTCAATTACTTCAGGTTCGGGAAGTTGAGCTGTCCTTTGAGGACTATGTTCACTGAGAAGTTTGATTGGCATATTTATGAAAAACTCATAAAATAAATTACTGATTCTCTCTGGGTCTTCAACAGATTCATTTTCATGCAAGATAGAGATATTATTAAAGGAATGTTTTCTCGTACGATTAGTCAAATCAGATACTATATTCCAAGCCATTTTTGCAGGATTGTTTGCATTAAATATTTCACTTTGGTAGTTGGATCGCTTAGTTTCTGTTAATAACAATTTATGTTGCTTCTTTGCAGATGCATACGCTTCGTTCAGGGCGGGAAAACTACATTTTAATAGAAATAAATCCTTCAGTTTAATGCTCGACTTCCTAACATTATCATCAGTCCACAATTTATTGGAATTTTTTGAACCATAATGCCTTTTGAGCGAAATGTTTATTGACAGTCAGAAATGAATTCTGAAATACTATAAAATGCTCTTGATAACATATATAACATTTCAATCTTCTTCTTCTATTAGGTGAGTTATCACAGTGTAACCGCCCGGGAGCTGTGACGTCCAGTTCTTCCTCCATCCTTCGCACCGTTTGTCATTGGTCAGTCTTTCTACCAGGGTTCTTGAATCCTTGTCCTGAGTTACAGTAGCCGAATTTACTTAACGACATCATATAGTAATAAGCTGAAAATAGTCAAATTTGCCAAAAAATGACCAGCATCAGTGTATAGAGAAAAAAATTCTCTACCTGTCAGTGAATATCATGACATAGTAGAATACTTACTTATTAAGATATGGAGCTATGAAAACACATGACATTAAAACGGACAAAACTTTTGGAACCATCAACGAACAAGTGGCATTATCATGTGAAACTTTGTTATTGATTGAGTATCTGTAGTAACTAGAAAAGGTCTTTATTATTTCTATTACTGTCCTGAAGAAGCGCCCCGTTAGAAGCCAAAACTCGGCAAAGGTTGATGAGATAATTAAAAATATAATGGAAAAAATATTACTTATCAAATAAGACAATATTCTTATACCAATCACAAATAACATTTTGATATTTTCCACCACTTGACTTTTTCAATTAATGAAATCGTGATTTTGTCTTGCAGGAGAATTCGACATGAGAGTGAAATCATGTTTAGCCTCTGACGGAGCAGGTCATGTGATACAACTGTCTGATGAGTTTGGTTGCGTTTTAAGGCCGAAAATGATAAGTCGTTTCCTCAAAGCACGAGGTGCGGACGAAAGAGCGTCTGTAATCACTTACGCATTTTTCCATGCTTTCAAGTTTCCTGACGCACTGAGCGTTCATATAAAATGTAAAGTAGAAATATGCAGACAAGGGTGTTTGGATCACTGCCAGTTGCAATCAGATGAAGCGAGCGATGTGAATCCAGATTTATCACATTACGTTAACTCCCTAGAGAGAAAGGATAGCAATATGCCGACAGTTCAAGACAGGTTAGTAAATAATAGCAATTCATTGGAATCTCACCCTTTCATATATTTTGAATAGAAGGACGTTTCCAATTGGAATTATACTTCAAATAGAGCACTATTTCTCCTGTTCGTACTCAAAATGTTTCCAGGTCAATTAATATAGTGTAACATTTTCCGCGTGGGTTCGAAAATAATTTGACTAGACTGTACAATTAAACTCAACTCAAATTGAAAGGGTATATTTTTAGGAGAAAGAAAATTTTTGGCCTTCTACTTCTCCATTTTGTTACAAAAAACTCAACACTAATACTCGAACGCCTATCGCTTTGCTAACTCCGTTCCGCACTTTCAACTAGACTTGCCCTATCTGCCTGTTGGTAGTGTTCATATATAGCGTAATGGAATTCTCTGGAAGCCGATTGGGAAGTCTCTGGAAGCGAAGCTACATCTAGAACGATCGAGAAGCGCAAGTCTAGTGAGCGTGACCCTGGCCAAGGTCGATTGATGGAGACCAGTGGCGGTCGGTTTTGTTTTTTCAGGAGATAATTTACAACAATAGTTGAACATTCGTATACTAAGCTCAGCCTCTTATAAATCTGTTCGCAATACAAATGGAACTTCCAATTCTGCACAAATTACGTTTCAGAATATTTGTACATGGTGTTGGCAGATAAAAATGATTAACCACTCTAAAGGTTGGTCTAGGTACATTGAAATTCAGTTTTTGCAGAATATGTGGGCAATAATTGAATTATTAATCAGTTTGAATAGAAAAATTATGGAGTAACAATCACGACGGCAACTCAAGCTATTCATAGCATGTCTTGCTAACAATGCTCCCATCATGGAGAAATCCAATTTGTGGTTAGATATTGTCTGATCTATAGAAGTGAACTTTTAGGATACGACGTTATACCTATTCAACTTTCTCTGTATACAACTGATGAGATGAATTCCAGATTATGGATGCATATTCTAATTTTGATCTGACGAAAGCATAGTATGGAATTTGATGTAGATCGATTCGCGAAATCTTTGAAGATTCGTGCAGTAAATCCATACATTCTGTTGGCAGCGGACGGAATGGTTTCAATGTGTGGTACGAAGGAAAGTTTTGTGTCGAAGGTAACACCTAGTTCGGTGAATGTGAGAGGCCGTTGCAGTGGAATATCGTTAATTAAATATTGATATGCAAGTAGACGATTTTTTAGTGTTTACGTCATTACATTATATTTACTCGCGTTTAAAGGAAGATTATTGCAAAAATACCATTGCTCAACACGTTTCAAATTGAGAAAGAGTTGACGACAGTCCTCGATGCTATTGATCTCACAATATAATTTCACGTCATCCGCGTATATCAAACAGTTGATGTCAATGACCTCAACTATGTCGTTTATGGAGGCGTTCAAGAGAAGTGGGCCTAGGTTGCTTCCTTGTGGAACACCCGAAGCAGCTGCATATTCCACGGCATGGGATTTGGACTCGCCGAAGAACTGAAAATCATATTGCCAGATCCATATCAACTATAATCAATAATACAAATTCAAATTCGACCCAAGCTAACACGATTTTTAAAAACTATACTTTTTGCTATAGTCCTTATTAGTTCCCAATATTTATGTGGCTACATTCGGCTTTCATCTTTGTTTTTCCATTCTAGTAAAAAATGCCTAAAATGCAATTTATTGTTCCATACCCGTTTGTAAATCTTCCTGACAATTCTGACATTTTTTCAATAAAAACATTTCATTCAAGTCGTTATTTTACTAATTCTGCACCAGAAGACCACATCCACCCATTGCAATGCCTAGCATTGCCATGTGGCAACCAGCAATATTTTAAAGAAAAATGCATATTTCAATAATTGGTTGTTATTTTCTTGATCACTAGAATTAACTGAAGCACTTTCACTTGAAATTATCATTTTTTTGAAAAAACAAGAAAACTCCGTCCCTGATGGGTTAATATAGTGTAACATTGACTAGACTGTACAATTAAACTTAACTTGAATTCCGCACTTTCAACTAGACTTGCCCCATCTGTCTGTTGGTAGTGTTCATATATCGTAATGGAAGTCTCTGGAAGCCGATTGGGAAGTCTCTGGAAGCGAAGCTACATCTAGAACGATCGAGAAGCGCAAGTTGAGTGAGCGTGACCCTGGCCAAGGTCGATTGACGAAGACCAGTGGCGGTCGGTTTTTTTTTTCAGGGGATAATTTACAACAATAGTTAAACATTAGCATACTAAGCTCAGCCTCTTATAAATGTGTTCGCAATACAAATGGAACTTTCAATTCTGCACAAATTACGTTTCAGAATATTTGTACATGGTGTTGGCAGATAAAAATGATTAACCACTCTAAAGGTTGGTCTAGGTACATTGAAATTCAGTTTTTGCAGAATATGTGGGCAATAATTGAATTATTAATCAGTTTGAATAGAAAAATTATGGAGTAACAATCACGACGGCAACTCAAGCTATTCATAGCATGTCTTGCTAACAATGCTCCCATCATGGAGAAATCCAATTTGTGGTTAGATATTGTCTGATCTATAGAAGTGAACTTTTAGGATACGACGTTATACCTATTCAACTTTCTCTGTATACAACTGATGAGATGAATTCCAGATTATGGATGCATATTCTAATTTTGATCTGACGAAAGCATAGTATGGAATTTGATGTAGATCGATTCGCGAAATCTTTGAAGATTCGTGCATACATTCTGTTGGCAGCGGACGGAATGGTTTCAATGTGTGGTACGAAGGAAAGTTTCGTGTCGAAGGTAACACCTAGTTCGGTGAATGTGAGAGGCCGTTGAAGTGGAATATCGTTAATTAAATATTGATATGCAAGTGGACGATTTTTTAGTGTTTACGTCATTACATTATATTTACTCGCGTTTAAAGGAAGATTATTGCAAAAATAGCATTGCTCAACACGTTTCAAATTGAGAAAGAGTTGACGACAGTCCTCGATGCTATTGATCTCACAATATAATTTCACGTCATCCGCGTATATCAAACAGTTGATGTCAATGACCTCAACTATATTGTTTATGAAGGCGTTGAAGAGAAGTGGACCTAGGTTGCTTCCTTGTGGAACACCCGAGGCAGCTGCATATTCCACGGTATGGGATTTGGACTCGCCGAAGAACTGAAAATCATATTGCCAGATCCATATCAACTATAATCAATAATTCGATACTCTGTGTTTCAGTAAATGGAATCGACTGATCTTTTCAAAAAAATGGAAAGAATTGATTCAAATTTGACCCAAGCTAACACGATTTTTAAAAACTATACTTTTTGCTATAGTCCTTATTAGTTCCCAATATTTATGTGGCTACATTCGGCTTTCATCTTTGTTTTTCCATTCTAGTAAAAAATACAGCAGTATTAAACGTTTGTTCAGGAACGCATTCAAGTGTTTTATTAATCCCTGGAAACAAATTTTAATGGTGTTAGAATGTCTCTCAATGACAACCATCCTAACATAAATAAACAGTTGAAGGAATCGTCAGTTGAACATGATGAAGCAAAGCTGGATATTATGTCTTCTTCTTATAAGGTATGGATATTGATTTTTTTTTTGTTTTTTTATGTTCATATTTGGAGTTTGTATCTAATAATCAAGAGGTCAATAATAACATTTCAAAACGCTAAAAGAAACATCCTCTCAGGTATCTTGTAGGTGCGAACTCGTTTCCTCCTTTTCATAAACCAGGACGTTATTTTCTTCACTCACAGGCGATTTTGTTGGAATTGGTGATACGTCTAAATCGTTGTATTCGTTCCACTTACCAGTGTAAGGATGTCTGCAGTATGCCGTATAATGTCCGCTGTAGGTAGATCCAGTGCGATTTGAAAGTGCATATAGATTATAACCACAAGGAGTCACATTGTCTGCTGCATAATTCCTCATATCCAATCTAACTAGAGGAAATTCGCTGGAAACATCATCAATATGTCTTTATATCTTTCTGTTAGAGAGAATCTCTTAAAATGAATTACTATACGGAAAATATGAGGAAACTTATGGATTTATAGAGACTTTGTCATCTTTGTCTTCTTTTCTTGTAACTCGAACACGTACCTATATTTTTCATGTCCACCCAAAGTTTTTTCTCTTGTGGGCATTATAACTAACTCAATTAACCAGTTATTTGTGGTATGGGGAGTGATAAATCCCAGAAGGAATTGAAGGATGTTGATAACTGGATTTTAATTGACCAACGAATATATCTACAATATTAGAGTTATATATACTTGAATATCTCAGCCATGCCTTTTGTGCTTTTTCGCTGTCGCTCAATTTTTCGTCAATTTTTGTTAGAATCGGTTAAAGTTCCTCATTAATTCTATTAACGTCTTCATGTTAACCTATCAGATGAATCTTCTGACCTCAATTCCCTGATAACTTCTGCGAATACTTTGATTAAAGCACCCTCCATATTAGAAATACTAGTATTGATATCCTTCATTCATTTCAATAACCATCTCGTGTTTGATAAACATTGGATTACACTGTTCATGAAACAGGTGTTGCCAATATTTCTCAACCCATTAGGCTCAAGGGTTTTCACTGAAGAATGTATCACTGTAGCATGACACCGTTTGCCCTATTCTACGAGACGCCTATGACTCTCCCCGGTTGCCAACAGGAAGCTTGGAACGAATATTTCTGACAGCGAGTATGAATGCTGTCTCTGTTCTGGAGAGTGCCGCCATTATTAGTAGACAGTAACTCCATAACTAGTGTAGAGGATAGCGAGTCTTGTTATATACTAACTTTGATTCAATAAATTGTGTATTTTCGGTAACCTAGTGTTTTACCCACGAAACCCTTAAGGCAATAATAATAGCCTTATATCACTCATATAATGTTGTTGTAGCTGTTGATCCTCGATTGATCCGAGTAATCACGAATGCGACGGTTCTCTCCATTATTGGACCAGCGAGATGAGTAATTTGATGTTAAAAGCATGAAACTGAATTGAATAGATTTATGGTAGACTAGACTTCTCAAGTTTGTGACAAAATGATAATTCCAGAACTTGTTCATATTTCTCTGCATCTTCTGAGTATTGATTGTCGTAAATATGAAAAAGTGATCTAGACTTGTAACTTGATAATTATCGAAGTAGAAAACGGAATTGTCTGTCCTGACATTGTTGTATCCGGTTCGGAAATATAGTATATATGGTATATGTATAGGTCGAGTCGTATCGCTGCACCTGTAGAACAACAAATAAGGACCTCGCTTTTCCTGGAGCTTCAGCACGTCTTCTTCATGACGGTCTTAACTGAGGAATCGTCGTACATCCATCAACAGGTGTTGTCATAAACTACAACTATTAATTTGATGTCCACAAACTCTATTTGAAACATATATCACGACATGTTTCGCTAACACATTTGCTTCTTCAACAGTTATTTGAATACTACAAGGTGCTTCTTACGCTAAAATTTATATACCACAGGTAACTACAACTGGGACTACCTCCATCAAATACTTGTTTTCTTATTTACATAGTTTATATGATGTTCCTTCAAGCAAAACGTACAAGACTCGAAGAGGACTGGGTTATATATCAAGCCAACCTCAGAGAGTTCAAAAAAGTCTGCAGACGAAAACAAAGAGAAGCCTGGAGAGCCTATTGTGAGGCAGTCGAAGACTTTC